TAATATTTTCTTAATTTATGTTCTTAAAATTTATAAAAAAAATTTAAAAATCAAATATCAAATTTAAAATGATAATTTCATTAAAAAAAAAGTAAATTATCACTTTACCCGCGTGCGAGACATTAAAGAGAAAGTAACCAACTACTGTACCCGCGTGCGGAACATAAAGGTTGCTTTTTGAGTGATTGCTTGGTGGAAGGAAAAATTTTAAAAATGTTCGATATATCAGATACCCCACTTAAAGTTCTCGACAACTTACCGTACGTATCGCGATGAGTGTAACAGGATTTGCATCAGTAATATAAACTAATGAAATTTGAAATTTGATTTCGATTCCACACTTATAATTGTACCATTATTTCTTACAGCATTTCAGGTTACTATTCTAAAATGAAGAAAACTCACCTGTTGTTGCCTTAGGTGGGACCTGGGAAGAGGAGTTGATAGATTTAGACATAGATAAAAATTGACTAAGTTTGCAAAGCCGTGCAATTTGTATCATTCATTACCATTCAATAAGTTTGAAATGCCATTTAGAATCCGATCTAAAGGATAAGTTAGACATTTCAGACAACCCACAGAAGCCGGCCATAAAGAGGACACCCTATTGACGTTCTCGAGTATGACCTTAGCAGGCTCTGTAACCAAGGTTTTGAAAATCAAATCGAATCGGTCGGTCGAATTGGTATTCGATAGTATAAATGGTTCAGTTTTATTTTTTAAATCATTTGAAAATCAAACCGGTAAGAACCGTTGGAACCGCTCAAACTAGAAAACTGTTTGACCAAATGGTTCAATGCTTGAGAACAAAAACTTGAGAAATTTGTCCCCCATGAAGCTTAAACTTGCAACCTTGAAGTCCTTTTAATTTATTCCAATCCTTTGCCACCAGGACCATGCACTTTGAATGTCAATGGATGCTTGAAATTTTATTTATCTAATAGAAATTTCAAAACTTTTAACCAAATTATAAATGACAATCATGGGATTCGAACACCCATTATGGTTTATTAAACATAGTCTCTTCCACTTGAGACACCAGCTTTTATTTGCAATTTTTTGTTTCATAATATATTTAGTGTATTTTTAAAACCATAATTATTTAAAGTTTGTTCATAAGGGTACTCGAACTTGTGGTCTTTAGTATAAGAAAGCAACCACCAACCATCACACTCAAATAGATATCTTGTGAAATACTTTACAAAATAATATATTTATACTATATTAATGAACCGACGATTTTACTGATTAAACCAGTTAAATCGGTCAAACCGTGAACCGAAAGTCAAAATGGTTTGACTTTCGGTTTGAGTTTAAAAACATTGTTTGTAACACTCGTATGAACTTAAAGAATTTGAAATTTGATTGAGAGTCCACACATCCATTACTCTTTTCCCTTTTTTTTTTTTCTTTTAATTCCACACCCCCATTGCTGCATCATCATAATTGTTTATTTTGGCAATCGTTGGAAAAAAAAATTTTGTAGTCTATTTATTAGACTTTCCATCTCGATTAAGTAAAAACTTAATTTTGAG